GATTCATAATCCTTGCCCAATGACCCTCAACAAAAAGCTACCCATTTCTGCTTCAATTTCTTCACCAAGCATGGGCGCACGGCGCACGATGATGCTAGCTAATAAATTAAAAGTATATTCCCTAATTCAAAAAAAAAAATGAGTATACTCCCACAAACAGAAGAAATGAAACGCTGCTATAAATAATGTTAAAAAAAGAGAGAGAGAGAGAGAAAGAAGATATTTTGTTTTATTTGGTAATGTAAACTATTTTTTTATGATGGAGTGAGAACATGGTTTCACAGACATACTACATTGTCAATGTTATCTCAACGTTCCTTTAACTTTATACCACATTATACATTTAGGAAGTTCTATAAAACTCACAAAATTTGCAATCATCTTTACTGCGAGTATAATCCCTTTGTAAAACCAAAAAGAAATGTAATGTAATGTGAGTTGTCTTCTCACGGTATTGAAACAAAGATTCAATGTACTTAACCTAGACATCTTGTTGCATGCCATCAACTGATAAGTTTTCACGTATATCAGCTCAAAAGTGAAATAGTTATTTAGCTACAAAATTAATGGTGTTGTTGAAAAGTAAGAATTCAAAGAATATATAATTCGTAATTCAATTCCCAATTATAATGTATTCTAAACCTTCAACATACATAAATTTTCAGCCTTTGAGGAAGTGGTAGAACTTATATCTAATTAAGATGGTTTTCAGGGAATGTAAATTAATTGAAATGGTGCATGCGACATGCGGGCATCATGTGATCTCTCTCGCTGAGCAAGAAAAATTACGGGCGCGCACATGCATGCAGCATACTAATGCTTCAAAAGATGCTTTATTAATTAAGTTATACTCATCTTTCTAACCTTCAAAGCGTTTTATTGATTTGATTTGTAGATTTTTCAGTTAAAGACTTAAAGTTATCAATCGAAGAAAAAGATCTAGTTACATTAGCTCTCATTATGTGGTGGTATATAGAGCAAAAAAAGACATTGAGAGACAACCTTTCATTCTGTGTTAAAATATCGATTTAATTAGTTGCGATCCGTACTCGTGAACAATCTCATATAGTACTCGACTGAATATGTCTGTTACTAGGTACTAAAAATATTAATTTCTTCTTCTTCTGTCGGGCACTAACTATTTCATTCATTTTTCTCTTGTCCCAAATTAAAGTAGTTATTTACCCTGGTGATATGCATGCATGAAGAAAGTCGCAGCTGAAGTTGGTGGGAAAAAAAAATTGAATTACTGTAATTCACCACATTTTACGTTCCAGTAAAAATGAAACTAGCTAGAATTACATTTTGATGGAAATCGAGAGGTATAAATACAATGCAATGATGTCTATATACAAGGATACATTTTTGCAGTAGATGACTAAAAACGATGAACAAGGAAATCTGGTTTTGATGCAATATTGAACCAAACAAATATGAACAGGCATTAACTTGCTGTATTTACGAAACTATCCCTTTCTAATTCTGAATAGAGTTCCCGATACCAGGGCTGTGACCAGGTGCCGTGGGCCTGAAGTTATCCACATGTCCCGATGAACCTGTTGGTGGCGGCGGTGCCAGTGCAGCGACGGCGGCAGATGCTGGCGGAGCCGGGGTCGGCCCCGTCGTCCCGGTTAAAACCATGGCCTTGATTTGGCTCCTGACGGGTGACAATTTTCTTCCTTCGATAGACTCAATGCTGTCGAAAATCAACATTATGATCAAAAGGGTTGCAACAATTGAGCACAAACGTGCCATATCCGTGTATAAATGAAATAAGAGGCAAATGTAAAGGAATAGGAGAAAATGGAGGGAAGGGAGAAAGGTCAAATGCAAAATGCTTAATGCAAGTTGAGAGGTGTAGTGTGCCTAAGGCCATGGAATTCATGAGGTATTTATAGAAGGAAAAAAAAAAGAAGGAAAGCCTGCCCAAGTTTGAGTTTCCAGGTAAAGTCTCTCCTCATTGGTTGGAGAAATACACCAGCAAATAATAGCCACCACCTAACTCTTTTCTTTAAGTTCTTGTATTTTGTTTAAACATGTGCCCATGCAATTTTATTTACTACCTTTCTGAAGTTTAATTTTCCTCTGCCTTGCAATATCGCCCCGTTCCCCCCCCCCCCTCCCCCAGTATTCGTCCGAGTCACACTATTCATTAGAGTGATAAGTTACTCGTTTCGTCTCGAAATAATTGTTCAGTTCGAATTTTTATTTTTGATTTAAATTAAATTAAAAGTAAAAAAATCAAAATTGAACAATCATTTTAATTAAAACAAAAGGAGCATTGTTTTACAATGAATGTCAAAATTTAGCATAGTAAACCAAATAACCTTCTTATTTCGAAAAAAGAAAAGAAAAGTTATCCTATGTTAGTAATGTAGCTTATGTGAAATAACGGGTCAGCTCTTACGTAAATATTGTTTAGGGTGTCGAGTCATTTGAGATGAAATTTTTTGAGACTGCTATAGATAGTTAAGCACTTAACTAAGTCAGAATCAAAGCATCAGCCGAATCGTGTAAAACACTTGAAGGTAAAAAAGAAAAAGTGGAATTGGAATTTGTAACTCCTCGCTAAAGGAGCGAAATTACGGCCATCCTTCTTGTAGCCGACTAACTGAATAGCTAGCTAGGTTCATGGTTTGTGTAAGGTGTAAGCCATTGCGTAATACTCCAAATAGGTGATGGATTGATATAGTTACTCATGTGTAAATATAACTACTTTTAAAAAAAAAAAGTATAAATACCTACATATAAGAAATTTATACGTTATGTGTTTTCTTCTTCTTGTTAGGCTATTATTTGAAAAGAAGAAAAAGGAGAATTATACTTGTCAAACTAAAAATTTTAACCATTTCTCATAAATTCTTTTGCGCATGAACTTGTGTTTGGTATAACGGCAAGTTGAGATCTAGGGCTTTCATTCATAGATTAAACTTCTTCTTTTATTTTTAAAGAAACTTCATATATGCATTAAACTAGAAAAAGGTGACATTACAAGTTGGGGGCGCAGGGGTAACCAGAACCGTTGGTTTATTTCAAGCCCTACGTATATAATATATGTACTCCTTCGTCCTCACGAAAATTTCTGCTCCTTTTTATTTATTTTAATTCAAGGTGCGCTTTACAACTAGAAAACCTGACTTTCCTTCTTTATTGGCGTTGCCATTGACATTGTTTCCTTCTTATAGTAGTAGCTATAACCCTATAACTCACTACATAAAGCACCTCGTTTTCAAGGGATTTTTCTTTTTCTTTTCTTTTTGGTCTGGCCATGGAGCCATGGAGGCATCACTTAATTAGACTGCTCTGTACATAATTTATTCTGGGTCCGTCCTAGAAAAATGTACGTGTTTATTATACTGCTACGATTAAATTAATTTAAGTTTTTTTTGTTTTCTTTTTAGTTGATTTTTTCAGAATTAAATAATAATAATTGTCCCATCCTAACATACTTTTTTATATTTTCAATACACTTGTTTACATTTCAATATAAAAAACACCTAAAAACACATACTAAAAAAACCAAACAAACACACCCTTAATTTTTTTAGGACAGAAGAAAGTACACTAATCCTATCGATTAGTTGGTAGAATGGTGTGAACAAGTATATGTCTGTACCAAATATATCGGTGGTTAAGTTTCAACACTTTATGCTTTGCTGCTAAATTTATTGTTTATCAAATTTATTTATACAAAATGCTCGCGTGGCATTTTTTTTTTTGTCCTTTGCTTGCTTTTCTTGCCCCGGCTGCTCAACTTGATTCTCCATAGTTGAATTTGTGAGGAAGCTCATGAAAGCCCAAATCTATGGGAATATATTTCTGTAAAATGTGCATTAAACTGAACAATTTTAGTATGTAAGACGGCTCTACATGCTTAAACTGGTAATGGTTAGTCCTCGAATTCTGGGATCTTCATGTTCGTGGGAGAAATTATGAAACAACATTTAGCACTCTTTTGGCGCCAATTTTTTTTTTTTTTTAACAGAAAAATAAAAGACAAAACAAAAAGGAGACTTACGCCTTTGCCTTGCGAAATACAAATAACAATCCGTATGAGCCTCAATATTTTGACACTTCTAATCGTAATAATTTGAAATGTAAATTAGTATAATTTTTAATTCGCAATATGAACTATTTTTATGAAAGAGAGAAAGTAATATTTTGACACTTCTGAAATACTCTAAACATTTTTTTTAAAGAAAAGAAACAAATACTATAAAATGGATTCATGACACTTTTATCTATATATATATATATATATATATATTGAGGGAGGAAAAAGCTGAGAATAATAAATACACACCTCAAGGAGGAGACGGTCAAAAGCTAGAGCATCTAAGACAAAATTAGGAGGGTTTACCAAAATATATAACCGGAACTAAGAATATTTAAGACAAAACTCGGAGAGTTTGCCAAAATATGTAAGCAGTGCTGAGGATTGATTCATGATACTTTGAATTCCAGGCAATGATAAATTAAATTCTGCATTCATTTGGTCAATTTAGAGCCCAATCCATTTTGGGCCGCAGCCCATTGTGTTTATGGATTCCATAGATCGAGAAAAACTTAATCCTAGCAACTTGAGCCAACCTTGAGTTAGTTACCTTGTCAGTCTTAGACCCAAAAACTTGGAAGTGGATGTGGAACTGAGTTTTTTTGAAAAAGGTGGAACTGAGTTAGTAAGAATATTACACAACTTTTAAAAAAATAATTAAAAAAGAAAAAAGAAAAACCAACCAGTTTAGCAAAGGTGACTAGCTACAACAGAAGGTGAACTTTGGTGATTTGCATTTCTCTGCTCTCCTAAACTAATAATCTACCTATACAATGGTATCCTGGAATCTATCGAGCAAGATCTACGTGGCTAAAACAAGAACAAGCACCATTGCTGAACAAGGCTAACTATCATTTTGCAGGTCTTTAATGAGGAATAAATACCAGCCAGGGTTATACAAAGGTTAGCTAGTTCGTGTGTATGGTCTTCATGTGTTTATGAAGAATCACCTGTCAGAACTGAGGAATTTCTCATAATCTGTTCCCTTGAGTGCCTTGTTGACATCTTCCCAATTTCTTATATGTTCTGACAATGGCCCTTTGTGAATCTTAACCTGCCGGCTCTTCAGTTCCATCTGTGGAAGCTTCAGAAAGTCTTGCACATCTTGTAATTTCTGAGTCAGAAGCAAGAAAATTTGAGGCCTACGGCTCCATTGCTCTATGAATCATTATATTTCCACACTAGCAGGAAAATGCATTCGAAAGAAACCTTACCGTTCTGTTTTGAACAAGATCTTCATAGAATAGAATCATATGACGGGTGCTCTTGAAGCGTTCAAGGGCGTCTGATACAGCCACTTCCATCTGCTTTAACTCCGTTGTTAATGATGTCAAATTGATCACTGGCTTATAGCTGGAAAGAGTTTCAGCCTGCAAAAAGGTTGCAAAGAAAGACTTTTGTCAGTAAGGTACATAGAAGGTTTAGCTTCAATCCATCTTCATCATCCTACTGAGAGAGACAGACAGAAAGGCAGACCTCTTCGGGTGAATGAACATGAGACTTGTGAGTGCCGTTCAGAAGTTTGGCATATCTGTCATAAGAATTTGCAAGCAGTGAAACCATTCGACGCAGTAGATTTCTCCGGAAAAGAAATATCACAGAAACACCCTTGTCATTGAAGTACTGCACAATTTCTTCATGGTGCTCCAGTAACCCCTGCACAACCAATCACATCTTAGCTTTGCATACTTTCAAGCAACTAACATGGAAAGAAGAATAAGATCACATCGAAATGGTGGCATGCATAATACTGGAGTACCAAATACTTGTAAATCCATCTGATACCTTTTTTACTTTCTATACCAAACTCTTTAAACTGGATGATACAAAAAATACAACTTTTCCAATCAAATACTACTTGTACGTCAAACTATTCAGAACTATTGTTCAAGTTATTATAAAGCTGGGGATCCTGATTTTGGATGCCTGGGTTGTACATCATATTGCAGATGTATATTCAACATATGCAGCAGGCACAAAGGCGACATTTTACAAGGAAAACAGGTCTCCTCGCTCATGAGTTTCAATGTCAACTTAGCCACTTTAACTAGAGGACAAATTATGCAACTCTGTCTAGTAACCAAAAAAAAAAAAAAAACAATGCATCTGTGTCAAGAGTTGAGGTTGGACTATTTTGGAAGTGGTAACCGTGGCAAAACTTCAATCTTAGGATGGATTCCCCGTGACCATGTTAGTTAAACAAAGCGGAAAAAGGGAAATGACATGCAGTACAGCATTAAAGAAATTGATATCTTGAGTTAATTTATGCAATAAAAGTAGCATGACTGCCTTTTTCATTGTTCAACTGTCATTGGACAGTGTGAAGATATTGAAACCCCAGACAGAATCACATTATTAGTTGTTATTAACCCTAAATGCTGGCAAAATAAGCAACAATCACTTCAAACCAACTTAGATCTATTCTAAAGGAACTAGGAGCATCTTTCCATCACATAACAAGTCTAAACACGCATGAGATTCCAAGTTTTTAGGACCTTTACCTGATTAAGCATCCACTTGAAACCAACAGCAGCTGAGCACTCATTCTTTGATGCACTGGTAAGCAAGTCAAGATTATAAACTCTATCCAAGGTCTCAGTGATTGAAGTAATATTCTCCCTTCTTGATTTCACAGAGAATATTTCACCATTTGAACTGACATTAATATGGCTATTCAACAATGTCTCAAACCAACCGCTCCCAGATCTCTGCACCGAAAGAATGGCAAAGAACCGAATAGGATTGCAAGAGCACTCCGCCCTGGCACATTCTAGAGTTAAATCCTAGTACAGAGGAAACAATAATACAATCATACTACAGAGTAAGTTCTCTAAACTACCTGTAGAAGGTTTTTGGCCTTGGATAGTGTAAGTAGGGATCTTGGGAACGGTCTACGATATTATCATGACAAGGCCTTTCGACAACCTCAAAGTTCATCAATCTGCTGGGTTTGGTGCTGGAATTAGTTTGCTTTAGACAAATCGAACATATATATAAACTACAGACCACTAAAAATGCAAAAACTACGGTCCGCAACAATGCAGGGGATCTCCTGGGAGCTCTAATGACAATGGAGTCCTGAAATCCAAAGGGAGACAAGATATCAATGCCCATTCAGAACTGTTGCAATAGCACATCAAATTTATAACAAAATAAAAATTTTAAAAGGTGAAATTCAATTATGATCATCTTGAATAGTATGCTGTTTAAGAGAAGAGTTTCGTCGGGTACAAATTTACAACAACGCTAACCAGTATGTTTGGCACCCCCCAACACACGCACACACCCTGCACATCAAATTTCCCTTCAAATTACAATTGTCAAAGACTCCACATTACATGACAACACAGAGACATCACGACCTAAACCTTAAAACAACTGGTTGCTCTTGATAAACAGTACGAAAGGAACCTTGATTTCAATTATGGATGCATTCCCCAACAGGAGGAATTTTGAAAACTTCCTCAGGCACAAAACTAGCCTAAACAGAGAGATATAGATGACAAGGGCTTCTTGGTTCAGAAGCCAGAATGACTCACAAACTAAGCATGACATAAATTGAGGCAAATTATCATACATCTTCCCAGCACAAATTATGCCGGTGGGAAAGTGGCTACATGGTTAATTGAGCTGAGCAACTTCCCAAATACTCACTGAAGAAATTTTGGGCCGAAATTAAGAGGAAGACAAACTGAAAGTCATCACTCCCAACAACAACCTAAAAAACAGCATTGCTGCTAACTGCAAAAGGCTAATTAGACATGAATTACTGTATAAGGCCCTAACTTTAAGTTTGGTAAAGTTGGGAAGCCATTAGCCGACAAATAAGAAAACCAGATCAAGAGGAAACAAAAATCAAAACTTCCACACCGACCAATTTGGAGTACGCATTACACCACCGCAAACAAATAAACTGATTTCTGAAATCGAATTCCATCTTTCTCGGAGGAAAAAAAAAAAGACCACAGAAGAAAAAGAAGAAGAAATCTTCACCTCAGTTCGAGCAAAATTAAGCATTATAACGACCCGAACAAAGGAACATCAGAAAACTGAAAACAAGATTGACCCTTTTCTTCTCCAACCCAATGCATGACTGACTTTGGGAAATCCTCCCAACCCACCGCCCTCCCATAAGAAACAAAGAAAAACCCCCCCAAAAAAAGGAAAAAGAAAAAGAAAAAAGCCCATAAAAAACAAAGGAAGGAAGGTTAAAGAACTAACCTTGGTGAAGACACATATGTCATCAGCCATTACTAAGTAAATCCCGGAAAGCGATGACAAAATTTTGGAAAAAAAAAAAAGGGACCGCTGTCACGGAGTTAATAAACTCTGCTAATCTTCTTCAGCCAACCCTTTTTTCAGCCTTTTCCTTCACCACTTTTTACCATATATAATACATCTCCAAACATGGTAATGTGTGAAATAGGTTCCAATTAAGTAATACTATAACCAAAAAAAGAAGAGCGTGTTGAAGTGGCAGGAAGGGGGTTCTTCGCTAGTGGGTACAGAGTGCGGAAAAGAATAGCAGTGCAAGGGGAAAAGAGCTTAAGTAGTACTAGATTATAAATAAAATTAATGTTCCTCGTGAAGAAGGAAAAGCATTAAAGAGGAACAGCTGGGATTCATACGCTCGTCTTTTGTCTCTTTTTTTAACTCCAGATTTGTATATTCCGAGATTCATATATGAGCACAAATGGATAGAGATTATAGAAAGAACTTTCTTTAGCAGCCCCTCTCTTCCGGATTACTGTTTGTATTAAAACTACTAATTGAAATTCTGGATGATTTATAATCTAATTAGTCTTTACGAGTTCCGAATACTAGTAATAATCATCTGTGTTTGAGTCGTACCTAATTTTTGGTTGAACATCAGAGTTACGGATTGTACTAATTTGACGTTAATAGCCAATCTTGTCCCAACCTCAAAATCCACATACACATAGAATCGAATCATCCCAGACGTGCTTCTAAAAGTTGTTTCGGACATGAGCATTTAGAATTAGAAACTTTGACTTTGCTTGGATTTGCATTTTTTTTTTTAGGGCGGCCTCCTTGAGATTACAGGAAATTACAAATCTCCCACGATAAAGAAAAAAGAATCAGTCCTATAAGTAGGAGGTTGAAGCTGGGTTAATTATTAGATTGGATAAAGGAAAATATAACCATATATTTGATGCTCGAAATTTGTTTCAGAGAAGGAAATAAAGATATTTACCGATTGCGGACACCTGTAAATATAATAATAATAAAAAAATCACAAATACCAAAAATTAATACATTACATTATGCTACATTTATTATGAACTTTTCAATTATTTTTAGTTTACCATATAACTAGGAGAAAACGAGTTTATCGATACATAAGAGATGCCATTTTCATCTTAATCTTCTGCTCCTACTTGGGGGATTCTATTGCAAAACAATAATTTCCCTTAGTAACAAACTGAAAACTAGTTGAGATTCTATACAAAACAATAGTTTTCCATCTGAATTTAATAGTTGTACTTTTTATTATAATAATATTTTAGTTCAACAAATATTTTCTCGTAGGATAAAAAGGTATAGTTATTTCTACAAATCTGAAGAGATAACTTTGTAACCTTTAAGTTTGCAAATTCGGGAGAGTTCAGAATATATTTTTTTTCCATAATTCATTTATATTACCTACTCGGCTTTTCCGCAGTGGAGTAAAAAAAGATTTGTGTATATTTGTTTTTCAATTTACTACTTTTCTATATATATATATATATATATATATACAAAAATATTCCTTCTGTCGCAAAATTATTGTCTACTTTGAGATTTCAGTTTTAGTACAATTTGAACTAAAAATGAAAATCCAAAATTAGACAATAATTATGGGCCGGAGGGAGTATATTGTTTCACCGAATAAATAAATCGGATCAATAATAGATGACATCCGTTTTCTATTGCTTCTATAAAACAGTTGAAGGCTACTTTTTACATTATTTTCCTAATGCGGGAGATTTTTCCTCAATATTTCACTTTCAAGTTTTAACCTACTGTCCCAATTGACCAAGTAATTAACGTAGCAACGCTACTATTGACGTAGTGAACGTTGCACCTAATAACACTCAAAAACCCATGCCAAACTTAACGAACCCAGCTAATTTATTTAATTAAAGATGAAGACAATCATGATTAACATACTTTATCTAATTAAAATAAATTATTATTTGATTTCCTTGGCTTTAATTTAGATTTGGTTGCGGGGGACTTTATTAGTGATTTCGTACCATGCATGATCAAGTCTTACCAAACTAGTGGGGAAGATAGATATACTGTATTAAGATAAACCTCACTATGATCCAAAAAAAAAAAGAAGAAGATAAACCTCACGATTAATAACAATACGTTGATGATAAACTCTGTGAAACCATTAAGGATTTTAATAACAAAATTTTTGTTCTGTTCCGATTTAACTTTTAATCTAATTTATACTATACATAAAAATTTATTTATTTTATTGCTTTTTAATAATAGAGGAAGTAAATATCTAAAAAGCTAAATTATTACAACTCGTTGATACAAAACACTAAAGATATCATGTTTAATCCAAGTTTCTATGTGGTCTTTCCATGGAGGAATATATTTGTAGATTAATATTGAAGTGTACAACTACAGGTCTACGAAGCGACGTGATATGGACATTTAGGCGGATAGAGTCGCACCAAGAAGCAAGAACAAAGAATCCTTCATTAGTTTGACCATATCAAATGCTGCCATGCTGGCGTTTTACATAGTTAGGTCCACAATACTGTGTATACCCAATTACTGATAGACAACTAGGCTTTGTTTGTTTATCAACTCATTTTACCTCTTAAACACAAAACTCAATGGAAAAAAAAATATCATCCAACCAACTTTCTAATTTACATTTTAAATTTCAACTTAAAACACTTTTTGTTAGCGTAATGATAATTTTCGAAAAAGAAGTAGTTCAGTGATAAAATCTAACAAAAAAAAAATCTTAGAGTGACAAATTTGTCAAGTTTTCGTTGTTTAGTAATTGTTTTTGAAAAGGTTCTTTTTTAAAGTGACTATAATTGACAGTATTTAATTAGTATTTAATTATTTAGTAATGATTCGTACTTGATATTTCAAAATGTAGTTCAAAATATTTTTTTTCAACGTCCAAAGAACTTTTTGCTCAAAATACCATCCAAACAACATTTTCATTTCCCATTTAGTTTTCAACTTGAAATACTTTCCACTTTTAAGTGGCAAAATGAAATGTAAGATGACGTCCAAACAAGCACTAATACTCCCCCGTCACATAATTATTCTCCAGTTTGAGTTTTTATTTCTAGTTCAAATTGTACTAAAAATAAAATCTCAAACTGGACAATAATTTTAAGACAGAGGGAATATTAAAAATAAAATAAAATTGAAAGGTATTCATGTGAATTAGTCTGGTAGAAACTGCTCAAAGTGAACATCCATTTTTATATGGTGTGTTAATTATGAAAACTACAGGGTTACGATGTATTGCTTATTTCCCGAAGAAATGAAATTAAGTGTAAAAAATTTCGACTATACTTGGTTATTTTTTAAATTTTTTTCGGTAAAATTGTAAATTATATTGCCTTCAAAACCTTTACAAATATTTACAATATTATTTCTGCTATTACAAAACTGACATTCTAAGTGGAACACCTATGCTGTTCAAATATGCTACTTGGTTTTTAGCAACCTGCATTTTCTTTTAATATTCTCTACCCTAAAATGATTATTTAGATTTTTATTTTTTATTGCAAATTATACTGAAACTGAAACTTAAACTAAATAATCATTTTAAGATAAAAAGGAAGTGGAGTACAAGAAAGAGATAAAGTCTTAATATAAAACATTAGAATATTAGATCGATCAACAAATTTCGTGTGTGAATTATATTACCGACAATTTAATCTTCCAATTACCGTTTAATGCCATAGCTTGCTGCATTCAAAGACAAAAGGTAAAAGCGTAAGGCCTCCGGCATGGTTTCTCGTTCTCTTCCGTTACCATTTCTTTGAATATTTCCCAATTTAATTAATTACGTGATCACATCAGCAATTACGTTCAACAGATGATTATTACTATTAATTTATTTATTATTAGTTTGGCATTTTCTATGATGCTCCGCACTGAACAAAAGAATCACAGAATTCTTACGGAATACTCTATTTAATCATCACAAATGATCACATGAAACTTCGATAAAAGAATCTTCACAATTTGTTTATCCAAGATGAGTTACCTAAAATCAAAATGTTCAGTGGCCATGTCCAAAGTCCAACAAGCGTCGAGTTGTTACGTTTATTATTATTATATATATGGTTTCAGGTTTTTTTTTTTTTTAATGTTTTGTGGGGGTTAGCTAGATTTATGTCTGAACTCTGAAGAATGCATATATTTTTAAATCAACAGAGAGCGCTGGAATCATGGAAGCTTCATGTCGGTTTAAGCTTGTTCGGTGCTTTGTATAGATGAATATTTAGGGGGCAGTGGTGTGTGCCCTTAAAAGTCAAATAAATTAAATGCTCTGGCCAAGATTTGTTATTACTCATAACTTTAATTTGCGGAGGAAACCTAGGAGAAATCTTTGTTGTTTGGGGAACTTATATTGTAAGGTCACTTGTATACATATCACTGTAATACAATACAATAAGAATGCAACTTCTAGAGGTTTTTCAAGTTTTAGTTAACCTAGTGGTAAGTCAACTAAACAACATGCAACGTTTGAAATCTCAAACCAGCTCATTTGAAAATTTAATTAGTATTGTATCAAAATAAATAGTGTTTCTCATTGTTTAGTTTAGATTATTTTTAATTTTAATACAATTTGAATTAAAAAAAATTTTAAACTAGATGATCATTTCAAAACAGAAAATATAATTATTAATTAGCGATGGTTAACAGTTTAGGAACGATATACACAACTAGAAAGGAAAAGCAAAACAAAACAAAACGATATTCTAAAAAGAAGGTAAAGATGATTGCCTAGTGTTTATTAGTGTGGTAAACAAAGAAAGTGAGCAGAACCGTCAGTACTTGCTAGTAAAAATGTTACTCCCGAACAAATCAAAAGAGAGAGATTCTTAGGGTTGATCTTAGGAAGTAGTATAATTTCAGTAAACAGTGGCAAAACCTAAACTTGGGATACTCTTCTAATTAAACATACATATAATTCATTAGTAGTTCAATAAGATAAATGGACAAGATTGATATTGACTCCATTCTGATCAGGT